TGTGTGTGTGTGTGTGTGTGTGTGTGTGAGAGAGAGAGAGAGAGAGAGAGAGAGAGAGAGAGAGAGAGAGAGAGAGAGAGAGAGGTTGGTGGTATTTTGTGTCATGTAGGGACTTATTGCAGTGCAGTGCCGTATACGGAAGCACAATCGGCGTCCGGACGGTATTTCTGACGTTACCTTTTTGTCTCTCTTTGGGGTGGCATGATGCATGTTTGAGCTGTGGTATAGAAATGACTCTTGCTTTGAGTCCTTTTTTTTCTGTGCTGTATAAAGAAATGGAGGTTTCGGATTTTACCATAGCCCGACGTTTTCGTAATCTTAGCTCTTCTCGTTAACTAATCATTTTGTTTCCGTAAAATCTAATTTTGTAATCTGCTGTTGGTTTCCTGTCATGTGGTGCAGGTGGTGCGTGTATTTTTTTTCCTCGTCGAGCTGCGTGGCCGCCTTTCCAGTCTGCCAATTCAGAACTGACTGCTACTTCCAATCAATAACCCGTTCGCCACGTGGCCTTCTTTTTCCCGATCTTTCTTTTCTTATCCTTCCTGGCGTCTTTGCCGTCCACGTGTCGGGTTCTCCCCCATGGTGGGTTGATCTTGGGTTGATCTTCTTCTATCACAGCAGTGAAAAGAGTATCAATTTTTTCCGGTAGTCTCTGTGATCGCGGCAGCTCGAACGAAGCCATGCGCTTACTTGCACAGTTAGCACCTTTCTCTCCTTCCCCCGACTTGTTCCTCTCTCTCGACTTGCTGTAGGTGAGTGGCAAATCCTTCATTCTCTCTCTGTGACTATCAATCCAATTCATCGATTGATTGATCAATCCAATTCATCGATTGATTGATCAATTCAATTCATCGATTGATTGATCAATCCACCACGCGATTGGTCAATCAATCAAATCAACCACTGATCGATCGAAAATCCGACCTTGGGATGATCTGACAGCGTGCCACGTGGCACGCCCGCTAGCCCTCTCTCTCGTTGTTTCAGACCCAAAGAGAATTGAGGCTATTCATCTTCATACCACGTGGCTGGCGGCTTTCAAGACCCCTCAGCCTCCCCCCCTTCCCCCCCAACTTCCCTTCCCGATATCTGGTACACATTCATAGCCTTGTGGTAGCGTGATGTCGACTTACCCTCCGGTAGGAGGAGGACTGCCTCCTCCTCCCGATGCTGCCGCTGCTTTTCGCCATATCCATCCTCTCTCCTTCGATCTCCCTTCTTCTACGATGATATCTGGTGGCTCTCATGAGCCCGAACCGTCGGCTCCACCTCCTCCCCCTCCTTCTGCTCCTCCTCCTGCTCCCCCTCCTGCTGATGATGCTTCTGTTGCAGCGTGGGCTCTTCCTCGGTCCGATTCCAATACGAGCAAATGCCCGTCCTCCTACACTAAGTGCCCTCTTGGATCGTCTCGATGTAATCATCCTTCATCTCCACCCCCAATGCCACGCTGGCACTCTCCTCGAGAGATCTACCCCGCCGCTAACCCTGATTCAGCTTCAGCTCCCCTCCCCCCTCCCTCTCCTCCTCCTCCTCCTCCGGCTGCTGCTGCTGCTGCTGGCAGTGCTGTTCCCATCCCGGCACTTGCTCGATCGCGATTGGCCGCCGATGGGGCAATGCATGGAGCAGGTAGTTTTTCGGAAACCCCGCCACTGGGAGACTATAGAGAGCTGCCACGTGGAGACTACAGAGAGCTGCCACGTGGAGACTACAGAGAGTTACCACGTGGAGACTACGGAGAGTTACCACGTGGCGGCCGCGCCGCTTGTCCCTGCGGCAGTGACTACCCATCGATGGGAGGACCACCGTCCCATACTCCTTATCCTCCTCCTTATCCTCCTGCTCCTCCTCCTAACGTTCCAGATGTTGGCAATTCATACCCGTTCCCGCCTTCAGGTCCTGCTTTCCCGCCATTTTGCTGTCACACTAATCCATCAGCTTATCCGTACAACCCTTGGTCAAGTATGCGCGGCTGTGGATGTGCCTCGTGCTCTGGCCACGTGGCGATGAATACGTGCAGTCCTCCTCCTCCTCCCTATCCTTACCACTCTTACTACCCCTACGCCTATCCTCCACCACCTCCTCCTCCTCCTCCTCCCCCTCCTGCGGTCTCTCTACCTCCTTATCTTAATTCGCAGATGCCTCACTGGTGGTGCAGAGACTGCTGGTATTCTGCTCCCGATCAATCGCATCGCGAAACATCGTCCGAACCTTCGCTGCCTCTTCATGTGTCACATCATGTGGACAGCTCAGTTTCTCAGCAGCATCTGCCAGGTCGATCTCCTCCACCGCCCCAGGTGCATTCGCCTCCTCCTCCTCCCACTTCTTCTCCTCCTCCTTTTCATCCTTCTTCCCTCCCTCCTCACGGTTCTTATCATTACCCCCCCCCCTCCCATCTTCCTTGGTATCACCAACACCCCTATCACCACCCTTGGCATCTTGAATTCGTCCGCGATCCTAGACACTATTACCATCTTCCCAACTGCCGACCATCTCCTTCTCCTCCTCCTCACGACAGCGATCCCGCTCTTTCTCGTCAGCAGCAAATGCCGCCTCCGCACGACTACGCGCACGCTGCTCACGTGGACAGCCAGGCCGATCGACCGTCTGACAGGAGAAGCATCAGCAACCCTCCCGCTGCTGCCACGTGTGGCAATCCTGCAAATGCACCGGCCAATCCAGGAATGTTGGGAACGGGAGGGGGTGTTGTGGTGGACGGGGGAGCGATGAGGGGGCTGGAAGGGGGGGGATGTGTTGGGGGGGGAGGGGGAGGAGAAGGAGGAGGAGCAGGGGGGGAGCAAAGTCTTCCGTACGATCGGAATGGCGGGAGAGTCGTGGGGGGGGGGGGGGGGGGGTTGGGTGGGAGGGTGGGGGGGGGGGGGGGAGGGGGAGGAGAAGGAGGAGGAGCAGGGGGGGAGCAAAGTCTTCCGTACGATCGGAATGGCGGGAGAGTCGTGTTGTCCTCTTATCCTCCTCTTCCTCCTCCTCCTTCTGGCGCTGAATTGGCTCGTGACAACCCTATCTACTACGCTGAAGCATCTGTATCATCAACCTCCTATGATCCGACTGCTCCTCCTCTTCCCGCGCAGTCTTCTCCTGCCGATTGCGCCGATACCATGCCCCCTCTTCCACTGAGCATGTACGGGGGAGGAAGGGAAATGGGAGGTGGTGATGGGGAGATGGGAGTCGGGGTTGGGGAGGGGGAAAGGGCCGTCGGCGCTTACTGCCACGTATCGTCATCGACGATGTCGAGTGCCTTCGTAGCGGCGGAGTCAGCTGGCATACCTCCTCCTCATCCGTCTGCGTATAATGAGTCGGGACACGATGGGTCTGTGTACCTTGCCTCATCTGCCTCTGCTCTCCCTGTTGATCATCAGGAATGTTACCCGGGCAGTATCTGCTACCCGGGGATTGGAAGGGGGGGAGTAATGGATGGGAGAGGAGGTGTTGGTGGGGAGGACTATTTGAGTGGAGGGGGGCGGTTGGGGGGGGGGGCATTCTCAGCGGCGCAGGACACGTACCCGCCACCAGAGAGCGTCTCATTGTCAGCTGTATATGAGCAGGACCAGGGGGGACGAACCTACACGGAGTCCGGAATGGAACTGCCACCTGGCGACGAGTTTTGGGACACAAGGGTGGGGCAGGGAATGGGATTGGGGATGCCAGATGATCCTTCCACCAGCACGCGACACGTGGATGACGTTGAGAGGGCCATTCATGGGATCTCACAAGTCTCAGCCACCCAACCTCCCATGGCCCTCCCGCCTAATGATGATCAGCCCCTGGGTATTCCGTCTCCTTCGCCCGGCGAATGGGCTCAACACGTGGCAGCACCCAGTGCGCCCTCCGAATGGACTCAACACGTGACATCCTCTGGTGCTCCCGCCGTCGAATGGGCTCAACACGTGGCATCCTCTGGTGAGGAGCATTGGGTGCATCGCGTGGTGGCCGATACGGCATTGCTAGATTACGCGGGAGAGGAGCGCGCGCCGGGTGAGAGTGTTTCTGCAGCTTTGTCGTCTTCTGCTCTGCCTCCTGGGTATGGTGCTGGAACGGATTTGGTTGGGGAGGGGAGGGGGAGGACGATCTCAGACTCATCCAGTATCCTACACGTGGACAACGCTAAGGGAGCGATTGAGCGGTAAGTGCTGATTCACTTTACTGCTACTGGCTTACTCTTTTCGCTGTGATACCTCCCCCTCTCTTTCTTTTTCTGTCCTATTTCGGACAAAAGATTACCGGTATTACAGTGTAGAGCTGGTCTTTTTCAAGAAAATGAACAAAACAGGAAAGCCAATATTCCCCCCTCGATTTTATTTATTGATTTATTTATTTATTTTTATTTTTTTCCCTCGAATTTTTTTATCTTTCCTATTTTGGACAAAACATACCGGTATTAGAGGGTACAGCTGGTAGTTTTCAAGAAGAGAAAAAAGGAAATGAAATTGGGGGAGGGGAAAAAGTTAAGAAAAACAGAATGAATGAGGTAGTGAAACTTTTTATTGTATACACGTGTTGACGCGGAAGGGTTCATTCTGTTCTCTCCCTTGTGCCCTGAGACAACGTCCAAGGCTTTGGTTGAGCCCTTTCTTGACTTCTTGCCATTGAGATCGGGACTCAGTGTCGAAATATGTTTTTCAGGTGCTTTGGTTGGGGGGAAACAGGATTTCGCTATTTCTTGCCTAGCCATTGAGAGAGAGAGAGAGAGAGAGAGAGAGAATGTAGACGTACGAAAAATGATAGTGATCACGAAGTCGGGGAGTTTCTAAAAGTTGAAAGTACCCGAAAGGGTAAAGAAAGTCGTTCAGGACGTCCATTAGTATTGGAACGATTCATAAAAGAAGATTAGTGTGGCTCTTGGACAAGGATGAAGACGCACGCATCTAGAAAGAATCTTCCAAATAAAGGAGAATGCGTTTCTTGATGACCACCTTTCCGTCTTCCCCCCTTTCTTTCCTGATCTGTTTCGGGGGCTCAATTGCGGCCTTCTTTTTTTAGTCCCAGTAGTTTACGAAGATGGAATTTATGCCATCGAGCCTCTCAGCGTGGATTAAACCAGCACTCCTCAACATATATATTCTTACCGGGCAGCTCTGTTTGACGATATATATACATCCACGTGGGCGGCCTTGTACGCAAGAGGTTCTGAACAGCGGGATTTGTAAGGAAGAAGATAAAAAAGCGAATTCATTTTTTCGGAAATTTTTTCCTTGTTTCCTTTCTGTTTTTTTTTCGCTTTTGCTCTCGATATTTTTGTGACCAGGGTCACCAACCGTACGGGCGTTCGGGGTCCCGTACGGGGGCTGAACCCGACGGTGTTAGGCCACCGCCAAAAATTATTTCGGGGCCTAAAAAAAATTATTTTTTTCTGATTTTTTTTTTTTGTGAGTTCTCTATGACGTGAGGTACATGCCTGTAAATTTTCAAGTCATTTGGCTGAGCCAAATAAGAATTAAAAATCGCCAAAGATGGCGGTGTCAAAACGTGCTCGCCCACGTATTTTTTCACTCTTTACTTTTTGTTTTCACTTTAGTTCGGGGTCTAAACAATTTTATTATTTTTTGAAACTTTCTTAGTGGGTTTTGTATTATGTGAAGTACACCTCTATAAATTTTCAGGGCATTTAGCTATGCCCAAAAAAAAATGAAAAATCGCCAAAGATGGTGGTGTTGAAAACATGCTCGTGCACTCACTAAATTTAATTCTCTTTTTATTTTTATTTATTTTTATTATTAGTATTTGTTTTCCGTATTTTATTTTTATTTCAAATTTGGTAAGGAATTCGGATGTAATGCTCAGGCAAATCTTGTTTAGTTTATTTTTCTCCATAACATATCTTTTTTTCAGATTTTTTTGATGACTTTTTTTTTTTTTTTTTTTTGTTGGGTCCGCGAACGGCCGAACGCATCCCCAAGGGGTCCCATACGTTTGGGCGTTCGGGTTCGGGCGTTCGGTCCGTCCCGAACGCTGGTTACCCTGTTTGTTACAATATATATCGTCACAAAGTTATCAGAGCGCAAATGCGAAGAAAAGGAGAAAACAAAAAGAAAAAAAAAAATCATTTTTTTATCGTCTTCCTTACAACTCCCCCTGGTTAGAACCTCTTGCATACAAGGCCGCCCAGGTGGATGTAGGTTGAGCGGCGGCTGCCCCCACCTCTGTGTGTCATATAGACCCACTTGCACACAGCCAAAGGGCAAAGATGCAAAGAAAAGAGGAAGGGAACAACCAAATACAACAAAACAGGGGGCAATAAGCAACAGCACAGAAACGGATCTTGGATGACAAGTCCCACATGCAAGCACCGCCCCTCCTTCACAGGCCAAACGACGGGGCAAGACCACCCAGGACAAAACACTCTTGTCTGCAAAAAACGGAATCCCAGATACATATCTATACACAGCAGATGGCCTTGTTCGTCATCAAGACGTTGGTATTCCTATTTGGACGCTACTGGGACACCACTAACGGCAAAAAAAATATAAAGACAATCCCAGATGACGATTCCCACCTATAACCACCGCCTCCCGTCGTTAGGCCGAACAAGGGGAACCAGCCAACTAGGATGCCAAAAAGAAGAAAAAAAAAAACGGGTGACAAGTCCCACATGAAAACACCGGGATGCAGACAAAGGTGCCAAAAATACCAAACAATTCTGCCTAACCATACTTGAAAAAATGGAGCCATATAGCTGTTTGACTATATACATTACCATATACTCTTTGTACCCCCCTTTTTTCTGCTTTGCTCTTCCCCATTGTTGGGGTATTTTGTTTTGCGGACCTACTGTATGGTTCTGTTTTTTTATTATGGTTATGGCAGAATTTGTTTTGGTATTTTTGGCACCTTTGTCTGCATCCCGGTTGGTTTCGTCCCCGTGTTGGGCTTACGGTAGGTGATGCCCCGGGCGGTGATTTCGTGTGGGACCTGTAATCCGTTTTTTTTCCTTATCCTTTTGGGGTCCTAGGTGGCCGTTTTTTTTCCTTATCCTTTTGGGGTCCTAGGTGGCTGTTTCCCGTTGTTCGGCCTGTGTGTAAGGGGGCGGCGCTTTTCTGTGGGAATCGTCATCTGGGATTGTCTTTTATGTTATTTTTGCCGTTGGTGGTGTCCCAGTATTTTAGTTTAGACCAGCGAAGCATCAGAAAGATGGAAGCGATACCAGTTCTTGCAACAAATAACAATCGCAAAGGAGTCTTGGAGTGGACGCAGAGTAGCTGGCGAGCATGAAAGGTTTGTTATATGGGATTGCTTGTTTGCTGGCAAGGGTGTTTTGATATCCATGAAAGGTTTGTTATCTGGGATTTTGCTTGTTTGCAGGCAAGAGTGTTTTGATATCCTCGTTGGTTTTGTCCCGTCGTTTGGCCTGTGACGGAGGGGCCGGTGCTTGCATGTGGGACTTGTCATCTAGGATTTGTTCATGTTTGTTTCCCCCTGTTTTGTTATTTTTGGCTGTTCCTTTCCTCTTTCTTTGCCTCTTTGCCTTTTGGCTGTGTGCAAGTGGGTCGATATGACACACGGGGGTGTGGGCAGCCGCCGCTCAACCTACATCCACGTGGGCGGCCTTGTACGCAGGAGGTTGAATAGTGAAAAACAGTGGCCATAGACTGCTTCCCGTGCACGCATCGACAAGATATTTCAATACTTCTCCGCATGTACAGCTCTCAGTTGAAAACGTGCAAATTCCCGGACGCGTTTTCTTGGGCCCAGGCTGCGCTCCTGCACTCCTCAGGGGGTTTCTCCCCAGATCCGCCTTACGGCACCACCCAACATTCCGACCAGTCTGAGAATAGAAAAGGCCTTGCCCTCTACATATACTGATCCTCTATCTACAGGCGTAGTCACACACGCTTGTCCTCTTCTACTGCATTCAGTCAGTGACGTATGGGCGGTATGGCCCGTGAAATTCGAATTCAAAATTTGCAGCATAACAACCTATCGGTTTCTGCCCGCTAATTTGCAAATCCCAACAGCGTGCCAATTTCCTCTTCCCAGTAGTGCAGGTACTGACCGGTTCCACGGAAAAGGAAACAATGGGACTACTGGACACATGTGCAGTTAGCGGAATTTCGAGCTCAAACTATAGTACTATTCAGGCCAATAGTCTTTTTTTATGTCAATCGTATTAATCCTAGGCTGTTGATTTCCACCCTGCATTGGTACTATCAAATCCGGAAATTCGGTAGGGCTGAGACCTAGCCCGTGTGACCAGCAGTGAAAATTTGAAAGATGCTTTTTACAGCCTACTGATAACCCGATTTTTAAAAAGTCCGAAATACACACAGAAATTTGAAATAAGCTTCTAACAACCTACTAATATTCCCGATTTAAGTCCGATAAATAAAGAGCAGTACAATAATTTCAGAAAGCCGAAAGTTACGAGGAACGGGCAGAATATACATACAGCCACTACTCGTCCGCCTTTTAGGCAGAAGCAGTGAATCCCGTAGCAGCTTTCTTTAGGCCTACTACAGACCTAACTATTTGCTACCTCACAGGAACAGGGCTTCGACCGCAGCGAAGGTGCTAACGCAGGGCTGTAAAACTTAGGGTCTATGAAGAAGATGGACTAGAGATTGATCGCCGTTCCAAAATACCAGTCACTCAAGTAGCCTTTTCCAAATCTCCTTGAATGTCTTGGTGCCCTTTGCAAAATGTGCAAGGGCTTTGAAGAAGAAGATGAAATGAAATGAAATGAAACAACGAGGCCAATAGCTATGCGTCCATGTCTCAATGATGAACATTGGAGCTCCTACACGGACCGTCAGCTCCACGCGCACATTCCCCGACGCGTTTTGCCTGGCTGCGCACCAGGACTTATCAAGGGGCAACCACACTCCCCCATCCACCGTAGCAAACCACCCAGAGCAAAGAGGGCCTTTCCAGCCTTGCCCTTCAAAGTTATAGCTGACACTGTCTCCATGTCTGCAACTGACTGGGCGGGCCTCGACTCAGCTTGCTTGTAACTGACCTGGCATGTCCGTACGCACACCCCTTCTTCCTGCCAACCTCATGTGTGCGCCTCCCGTTGCGCCAGGTATTTCCAAATTGCACGTGTACTGGCCAGCGGTAGGGGCCTACGCTGCGAAACCGGCTAGTCCCGGCCTTACACGTCCTCTGCACCAGGCCTGTTTCTCATGCTAG